GATAAATTGCTGTAATTGCTAAGCTTATTTCACAATTTTTGCACTAATATTCACGGGGGAAATCGGCCTGTATTATTTTTGTTTTGACTCTTCCTGGTTTAGGTATCAAGAACATCTTTGTGCAATAGAATTTGTTAAGATTCTTTCTTTACCCATTTTTTCAAAGTTTACATAGTGTTTGAATTTTTCTTTAAATGTGTGGTAAAATTCACTTGTAAATCCATCTAATTCTGGGTTTATTTCCTAGGAAGCACATGTATGTGTTACTCAATTTCTTTTTCTAAGATAGGGATACTTATCCTATTTAATGTTCTGTTAATCTGGGCAATTCATATTTTTGTAAATATTTGTCCATTTCATTAAGGCTGTCAGTGTTATTGGCATATAGTTGGGCAAAACAGCTTTTATTACTTTTATTTCATTTCCATTGGTTGTGACTGGTAATTTGATTAAAAAACCCTTCAAATTAGCCAATGGTAGACCTATTTCCCCCCCTTCTTCAAGAAAAAACAGCTCCTTTTAGTAGTTCAATGGAATCTAATTAGTCCAGGTGAGATTCCCTTTGGGTAAGATGAATTTCTGTAGCCATCTGCATATTGTATTCTTTGCTCCTTCAAACAGTTTAGATGAAAGGCTCAACTACTGCCTGCTCTCCTCCACTGTATACTCTTCCCTGTACACTTCATTTTTGGGAGATAATTTCTCTCCTTTTTCCTCTTTCTTCTCTCAATGCATTCTTCCTCATCCATCCCATTCTTCTTTTGAGATCAGCCAAACACAATCACATGCAGGTTGTCTGCCTTCCCTCTAAAATCCCTGTTATAACAAAGTTCTGAGGGGGTTACATGTATCATCTAACCATATAATGAAGAAGACAACTTAACTTTTTTACTCTTTCATGATCTCACTTATGTTTACCTTTTTATGTTCAAGTCCTGTGTTTCAATGTCAGATTACCTATTCAGGTTTGGTCTTTTGATCAAGAATGCTTTTACAAGTCTTCTATTTCATTATTTATTTCTCCCCCTATGAGATTATACTCAAGTTTTGTTGGGTAGGTTATTCTTGGTTACAACCCTAGATCCTTTGCCTTCTGGGAATATTACATGCCAAGTACTCTGGTCTTTAATAATGCTGGCTGCTAAATCTTATGTGATCCTGACTGTGGCTCTCAGGTTAATAGAACTTTCTTTCTGGTTGTTTGTAGTATTTTCTCCTTGGCCTGGGAGTTCTGGGTTTTGGCTGTTTCTTTCAAAAAGTAGTGGATTCTTTAAATTTCCACTTTGCCCTTTGGTTATATCTGGCCAGTTTTCCTTTATAATTAAAAAAAAAAATCTAGGCTCTTTTTTGGTTCATGGCTTTCAGGTAGGTCAACAATCATTAAATTATCTCTCCTTGATCTATTTTCTAGGTGAATTGTTTTTCCCACAGGTGTTTTATGTTTTACTTTTTCAGTCTTTTGATTTTGTATTTTTATTATTTCTTAATGTCTCATGGAATCATTTGGGCAGCGAGGTGACACAGTGGATAGACTGCCAGGCCTGGAGTCAGAAGACTCCTCTTCCCAAGTTCAAATCTGGCCTTAAGACACTAGCTATGTGAGACCCTGGGCAAGACATTTCAACTTGTTTGCTTCAGTTTCCTCAGTTGCAAAATGAAATGAAGAAAGAAATGGCAAACCACTTCAGTACCTTTACAAAGAAAACCTCAAAAGGGGTAACAAAAAGTCCGTGAGTAAAAATGATTCAATGACATCATCCTTAACTTCCATTTGGCCACCTTTCATAACTTTCTTGGTCACCTCATTTCTTTTCCCCTCTATTGCTCATTGGATTTTTAATGTTGTTTTTGCTCTTTTTAACTCTTCTCATAATTCTCATTGAGCTTGTGTCCAATCGACATTTCTTCATTGAGGCTTTGCTTGCCAGTGTTTTCAAGACACAGTTTTTGGTGCTTCACTGTCAAAAACAGTTGTTTTCTGTTCTGGTTCTTCTTTTGATTTTGCTTATTCTTCCAGCCTGCTTCTTGACTTTCGGCATTTTGTTCCTATTGGGCTCTCTGCACATCTGGTGGGGAGAGGGGCAGATGTCTGGCCTAAGCTGCTGCTGCTTTCCCAGCTTAGGGGCCCACAAGTTTTTAATGCTTCCAAAGTAGCGTGAGAGATCTCTGCTTCCCTTCTAGCCTGAACTCTCAAGTTCCTGTCAGAGGTTTTTGTCTGTTAGCTTCTATGTAGTTCAGTTTCAGTAGATTCTTGCTGGACTCCATCATTGTTAGCCCAACAGAAGATTCTGTAGGTTCAGAGTGATTGAACAGTTACCGGCTCCCCATTGGTCTTGGCTTGGCTTTTTACCCTGTTTTCACCACTGCAGGCTTATGTGCTGGGCTTAAAGATTAGAAATGAGTCACTGCCCTCTTCCTGTGCTCAGGGACACACAGAACTAAGTTTCTGGAATTTGCTTTGTGCTTAGTAATCAGTTAGGAGCCTGTACTCAGTCAGGGTCTGGATTTGTGATCTGGAAGTAGGTACTGATTGACAGAGCTGCCAGATGGCACCAAGTCCCTGCAGTCAGCACTAATTCAGGGTCCCCTGGCATCTCTTCCTGGCCCAGTGACTTGTTACAAAAATTTTCCCTTTACATCCTGAGGCACTGGAATTCCTTCCTTCCACCTGAATCCAGACTGTGCTGTGGTCCTAGCCAGTCCCTACCTTAGTAATCACAGACCTCTCTTAAACTGCTCACTGATTTTTTGTTGGCTTTCTTGATCAGAATTTGGTCTTGACCTAGGTCAAGGAAGAAGCGTGTTGGGAAAGCTAGTCAAAAGCTGTTTCCTCTTACTAATGTCTTGATTCCGCCTCTCTACTTCATGTTTTCTAGTAACTCGTTTATGTCTTGGGTGAAGGGTTAAAAAATATGTATATTTTCAAAGAATGGGGGGAGAACCTAAGCATGTATACAGGAAGCAGAGGAGCACAATTTAGATATAAAGAGATTGAAGATGAGAGAAGTATGGAAGACTGATGAAGTGAGAGTGTTGAACCCTGCAAGGGCCGAGGGCTTCCAGAAGCAAAGCTGGAGAGGACAAGCTGAAGGTGTCAAACGATCCTGAGGGGAAAAGTACCTACTCGTTTGTTTAGAGGGTCTCAAATTTTTTCAGAAAAATACAAGTCATCTGAAAGATGCGAACCTAAGGGTTTTGCAGCTATTAAAAAAAAATCATCTTGCCACTCAGACTTGCTGTGGTATATACAGCTGTGAAGGCTGAGCACAGAAAGTCTGGGAAGATGATGACTCCAAGGGCCATATCACACACGTGATATGGCACACACAGATTTTATACACACACACACATGACACACATGGTCATTCCCAAAGATATGAAAGGCTACAATACAAAGGCACCAAACCACTAATAAAAGAAATGCAAATCCAAGTAACTTCTAGCATTTACCTCACTGACTGCAATAAATTAGCTGAGATGGGAAATAAATTTTGGAGAGGCTGTGTAAAGACACTCATGTAACTTCCTTGGTTCAACAATGCTTGAGAACCATTTGGAATTATGTGAGGATATCAAGTACTAATGTACCAAAAACACATTGTTGGCAATGACGGACCGAAGTTTAGATTAAAACTAGATCCGTTGGAAAGTTACATAAAAATGAAGTTTGTAGTATACAGTTGTGACTATCTGAAACGCAGGCAGCATATGTGGCCTGTGCACATTTAGCCAAAGGAGTCGAGCATAATGCCATAAGCTCTATTGGTTAACTATAAAGTTAGTTAACAAAGCAAGGTCAGATTACCTTTAAGCCATTATAGAAATGTGAAACAGGACACATCTCTTCAGGGAAGGGGTGGCCAAGGTGAAGTACAGTAGTCTGGAAAGTTACAGGGCTGGGCAGTACACTGATACACAGTTTCCCATGGTAATTCAGTATTATTTGGATCCAACGGGGCATTCCGGTGGGGGGATGCATTAACTGCATTTAAGGCACTGTTTTTAGATGCCCTGGGGAGTTATGTGAAACATGGTTGGAGCCAGTCTGGTTCAACACAGTTGAGCCTTGTGGGATGACTCAGGAGGAGCACAGCACAGTAGTAGCTTTGTTCTGTCTGGCAGCAGGATGAGGCTGAGAAGAACGAAGGGTCAAGGTTGGGTGCCTTATAGTCAATCACTTACCCTTTCTAAGCTAGTCACCTGGGGTAATAGCCTTCTTCCTATACATTTTAATAAGTTATGAAGCAAACATTTTTGTAAAAATCAGAACTGTAGGGTTATAAAGAGGGTCGACATGAGAAGGCAGGAAGAAATGGAGGGCAGGAACTCTCTTTCTAAATTTTATGTATAAAAGTGAAGTCTAACGTTAACACCTTTGCTTCTTTCTCACCAACCCGTTATACCACTTGGTTCCTAGGTGGACACGGATGCCCACAGAGATGTCAGCACACTCAGATGACCCTTCTCAGACAGGGCCTCAGTAACTCTTCAGGGGATTCGATCAATCAGTATTTATTAAGTTCTTATTGTGTGCCAAGCACTAAGGCGCTAAGTGACGGGGATACAAAAAGAGGTAAAAGCCAGCCCTGCACTCAGGCAGCCGACAACCCAATGGAGAGACCACCTCTCTCCTCCACGACCTGATCCCTCGTTCTGTCTGAGACACTCCAGCCCGCCCTCCTTACGCACGAGTTGTTCGCTCCTCTTCCTCTGCAGATTCGGTTTCTTAACCGACAAGACCTAGACACATACTGTCCCCCATTTATCTCCAGCCAAACTCGTCCCTCCTCCCCCGCCCCAGTCATCTTCAATCGCCAGGAACAGACCCCCTTTCACATCCCTCCCTCCCCACGGTGCCGAGAACACCTCGTCTGTCAGGTGCAGGCACCGCCCTGCGAGGGAGCTACCTAACTTCAATCCTCACACGACCCTGGGAGGCACGTGCCGCTACTAACACATTTCACGGTTTGGAGAAACCGAGGCAAAGCGAAGCCCAGGCAATGCCCAGGCTGCACTCCGGGGTGGCCACCCCTTCCATTCGCGCGAGCCCCTCCGAGGCACGTGCACCTCCAGCCCCAAGGAGCCGCCTCCCCGGCGGTGACGGCACGCCTGGCCCCCAGCCCCGGGGCTAGATTCCTGCTCCGCCACTTCCGCCCGCGGGCGCTAGGGGGCGCGCCGCCATCTCTCCTCCGGGGCCTCAGTTTCCTCCCCTGCACAGGGGCCTACCTCGGAGCTCGGCCCGGCCTTTCCTCGAACCCCCCATCCCTGGCCTCTCCCTGCCGTCCTCGTCCCCTTCTCAGCCAAGCCCCTGAGGCCCGCCCCTGGGCCCGGCTTCCTCGCCCAGCCGCCGGCCGAGGCCTACAACAAAACAACGTCGTCTTCTCTTCCCCGGTCACCTTCTCCCCGTCGCCTTCGCGACTGCTCCCGCAGCTCCCATTGAGCGCCTGCGCAACCGGCAGCCCCTTTTATATGACGCAGGCGTCTGCGTCTTACGTGAGGCCACGCCCATTCGCGCACGGAGGCGGAGGGAGGGGAGCAGGGGTGGGACTTCCGGTTCTGAGAGCCAAACTTCCTGCTGGAGGCGGAAGCGCCGCTGGGCGCCGGGCTCGGAGGGGATTCGAGGCTTTGGGGCCGGCGGCGGCGGCCGGGCCAGGGAGGGCAGCTACGGCATCGGGCCCGGCCGCATCCGGGACGCGTCGTCGGGCCGCCTGAGGGATGCGGAGGGACCATGGCCAGCGACGGGGCGCGGAGGCAGTTCTGGAAGCGGAGCAGCCACAGGCTCCCGGGAAGGTGGGCGGGGCGCCGGGGACGAGGGTCAGGGTTCGGGGAGCAGCGTGGGGCAGCCCTGAACGCCCCTGCCGGGCAGGGCTACTCGAACCCATTTCACAGAGGAGAAAACTGAGGCTCAGAACAGGAGTAGGCCAAGGGTGTTAAGGGATCGGGTCCAAGCCCTGCCCCCTCCTCTGTCGTTCTCAGCCTCAGTTTCCTTCTCCGCGCGGAGAGTAAGAAAACCTCCCACTTGGCGGGGAGGTCGTCGGGGCAGAGAAGCCGAAGCCGGTCACCCTGGCACGGCCCTGCACCCTGCGAACCTCGGTTTCCCTGTTTGTAGCTGGGGGGGTGACATTCCGGGCTCATGGGTGCCCTTCCCTAGGGTGCTGACCTCCCTGGGCCTCAGTTTCCCCCTCTGTAATTTGGGGGGGGCTACACTTCCCTAAGGTCGTGACCTCCCTGGGCCTCAGTTTCCCCCTCTGTAACTTGGGGGGCTATACTTTCCTAGGGTGCTGACCTCCCTGGGCCTCGGTTTCCCCCTCTGTAATTTGGGAGGGTTACACTTCCCATGGGTGCTGACCTTCCTGGGCCTCAGTTTCCCCCCTGTAATTTTTTGGGGGGCTACACTTCCCTAGGGTCGTGACCTCCCTGGGCCTTGGTTTCCCCCTCTGTAATTTGGGGGGGCTACACTTCCCTAGGATCGTGACCTCCCTGGGCCTCAGTTTCCCCCTCTGTAACTTGGGGGGTACACTTCCCTAGGGTGATCACCTTCCTGGGCCTCAGTTTCCCCCTCTGTAATTTTGGGGGGCTACACTTCCCTAGGATTGTGACCTCTCTGGGCCTTGGTTTCCCCCTCTGTAACTTGGGGGGCTACACTTCCCTAAGGTCGTGACCTCCCTGGGCCTCAGTTTCCCCCTCTGTAACTTGGGGGGTACACTTCCCTAGGGTGCTCACCTCCCTGGGCCTCAGTTTCCCTCTCTGTAATTTTGGGGGGGGCTACACTTCCCTAGGGTCATGACCTTCCTGGGCCTTAGTTTCCCCCTCTGTAACTTGGGGGGGCTACACTTCCCTAGGGTCGTGACCTCCCTGGGCCTCAGTTTCCCCCTCTGTCCCTTCCCTAGGGTGCCACCTCCCTGGGCCTCAGTTTCCCCTTCTCCAGCTTTTTCCACCGAGCTGCCCTGCTTCTCTTCTAAGAACTCACTTTTAGCCTCTGTGCCTGCTGCGCTGTGGAATGAAGGAGGAAGTGCATCATTGCCCTCGTTTTACAAATGAGCAGACTGAGGCACAGGGTCATTCTATGACTTGTACCTGTGTTGACACAGCTAATGAGACCAGGTCAGGACTGGTATCCTGACTTTAGGGGGTCTGCTTGAGACATGGGGAGGATGGGGGGCTTGTGCTTGGGCCGCAGCCCCAAGACTGTGTCTCCTTTTAAGATCTTGTAGGCTGACTTTGTTGCCATTTTGCCTCGGGGGGGGGTGAGGCTGGTCAAGACACAGGAGGAGGTTAGGCAGTGGGGATGGAGGAGACTGGGCCAGAGCCCGGGGTGGTCCCAGGGGCACCCCCACCTTCCTTCCTGACCCCTGGGCAGCTCAGCGGGGTCCATGGAGGAGCAGTGTATGGCCCAGGGTCGGGTGGTTCTGCCCCAGGGACTGAAGTTTTCTGCCAGGCCCCTGGGGTGGCGTGTGACCTGCCCCATCGCTGCCTTCCTGTTTTTGACTTGGGTGCTGTTGGGTGGGCCGGACTTGGGAGGGCTGTGCACTTCCTGGCCTCAGCTGTTGTTGCTGACTGGTCACGGTGTGCCGCTGGGCAGTTGTGAGGACTGAGCCAGCCTGCAGAGGCCTCTCCTCCACTGCCCAGGGTGCTTGAGTGGGGTGGAGGGCGGCTCCTGGGGTCTCCCTTTGGCCTCTTTCTCTCCCCTCCCTGTCATCCTCCGCACGTTGATCTCAGTCACTTACACGTCTCCTTCCCTTTCCCTCGTGGGGAGAAAGGACTTGGGGTCAAACCTCGCTTTGACTCCTGCCTCTACAGAGCCCTCAGGAGGTCAGGGGACTTCTGTACAATGGGTATGATGGGAAGCCTGGAGTCCTCTGTCCACGGGAGGACGTTCCCAAGTAGAGATCTGGCTATTTGCTCAAGCCCAGTGTGGGTGCCCTGCATCTCCTGAACCCTCTGTGCTTTCAGGGGGCCCCTGTTCTCGTGGCTGCCTGTAGCGGCACACATCCCGCCTCATGTCCCTTGCACCAACCTCGTCCATCACACGTGCTTCATAAGCGCTTGCCCCGCTGGGCCATGGGGGCTCCTCCTCATCATCTCATCGTTGTCAGGGCAGAAATGCCTGGGTAGTGGTGGGGACTACCATGGTGGCCTGGGCACCAGAAGTTCAAAGATGCAGGAATAAGTGTGTCCTGATGTCAGGGAGCTAAGCTGAGGGTCTGGGGCTAGGATGCAGGGGACAGTGTGGTGGAGGCAGAGGAGAGCTTTGACTCGGTGCTAGGTATGACAGAGGCCTCTGGGAGAGGGTGCTCTCTCCTGGGGCTTGGGGAGGGCGGCTGAGCCGAGCTGAGCCAGGTGAGCATAGTGAGGGTCGGGGAAAGAACAGTGGAGGGGGGTCATGGAGGTGGGAGGGAGCATGTCGAGGGCTTCTCAGGTAGCTGCTGATCAGCTCCGCCAGAGCATGGTGTGTGTGTGTGTGTGTGGGGTGGGTCTGTGATATGGCACGAGGCTGGAAGAGGAGAGTAACCAGAGGCCATGGTGGGTTGTCTGCGGCGGCATGAGTGGCTTTAGGAAACAGTGTCGTGGTCTGGCTTGTGCCTGGCTTGGCCAGATGTGGGTGACAGGAGCTTCTGGCCGGCCTCACTGGTCCTTCCCCTCTCACGTCCATCATCTGTTCCGCTGTCAAGATGCTCTTCCTAAAGTGAAGGTCTGACCAGGCATATGACTGCAGTGGCTCCCTATTGCCTTTACACTGAAATTTAGATCCTCTGTTTGGCATTCAAAGCCCCCTTGTCTTCTTCCACCTTATTCCTGGACAAGTGCTCCTCAGTCTGGTGACACTGACCTCTGTCCCACAGAGAAGCCCCACCATCCTCCACTCCGGGCACGTTCTCTGGTTTTCCCTGCTTAGAGTGCCATCCTTCCTCATCTCTGCAGGAGACCCAGGTCCTGCCCCCATCCTTGGCAGTCCCCCTGGGCTCTCCTCCCTCCGGTGATGTCATCAGCTCCCATGGCTTCATTGATCATCTTGAGGCCCCTGACTCCCCCATCTCCAGACAGTCCCAGCTGCTGCACCCCAAACAGAGCTCATTCTGTCCCCCCACTTCCCGTCAGCTCTCTCCTCTTGCCCTTTACTTGGACTCCCTAAAGCAGTCTCACTGGCCCCTGACACCCCCTCTCTGGCCCAGCTTCCAGTGCCCTCTGCCCCACTGCACTGGCTTTCTTCATGACTCAGCTTATGTTCCACCTGCAGGAGGTGCCTTCTTCCAGTCAGGTGTCTCCAGCTTCTCCTGCCTGGAGCTGTTTGCACGTCGTCTCCTCTGCTAGACTGGGAGCTCCTTGAGGGCAGGGCCTGGCACATAGTAGGTATTTAATAAATGCCGGCTGCCTAATTGACTTTAATGACATCCAATCCAAACTAATGGAGTCCTCAGTGTAACTTAATGGCAGATAGTGTGTGTGTGTGTGTGTGTGTGTGTGTGTGTGTGTGTGTGTGTGTGTGTGTGTAAAAGCGCTTGGAGGTTTGCCAAGTGCATCACACATATCCTCATCTTCACCACAGTCCTGGGAGGTAGGCATTGTTGTTGTCCCCATTTTGCGGATGAGGAAACTGAAGCACAGAGGCTTGAAGTGACTCGCTCAGGGTCACATAGTTAGTGTCCAAGGTGGGATTTGAACTCAAGTCTTCCTGACTCCGGGCCTGGCACTCTGCGCATTGCTTCACCAGTATCTGGGTGAAGGGGAACGCTGCATGTGTTGAGGTGCGTGCAGAATTCTAAGGCGAGGGAGCTTTTCTGATTCTAGACTTCACACCTTCCACCCCTTGGTTGTTCCTGGATCTGCCCCATTGGTAAAGGATAGTTTTGGAGAATGATCATAGACTGTCATGGTGTGCACGTGTAGGAGAGGGGATGGTGTGTCAGGGCAGTGCCTGGAAGGGTAGAGTCCTCAGAGAGCTGGGGCACTGTCAGCGAGAAGAGAAGAAAACTCGGGTCAGTGGGAGGGTCCTGGTGAGCGTGGGCACCTGGAACTGGGTGAGGAAGCCTCGGCCGGGGGATCCCTCGTTTGGGGACGTCCCCCATACACTGAGTGCTACTGGGGACAGAAGCCGAGCCTTCGTGGTCTGGCCAAACTGGCGTTCTTGGTCTTCCTCCTGTATGTCTCCGGTCGCCTGCTTGCCATGCCTCACCTCCCAGAACGGCCTTCGAAGCTCCCTCCAAAGGCCTCCTCCTCGAGGAGCACTTTGGGGGTCCCTGAGCTTCCGGTGCTCTGCCCAGACGCACCTCATATTGATTTTACGTGGTCTTACACAGTTGAACACCGGGCTCTCAACAGGCATTTGTTAGATAATGATTGTGTGCCGAGCACGGGGGCGGGGGTTACATAGACAGGCCAAAGCAGTCCCCCCGCCCTCATGGGGCTTCCATTTGAGTGGGGGGAGACAACGTGTCAATGCCTCGCTAGATCAAGGTTAGATTTGGGGGGGTGGAATCTAATCTGAGAAAGGAAGGCTCTGGCAGGTAAGGAGACCTGGAAGGACTTCCTGCAGAAGGGGGGACATGATGCCAGGGGAATGAAGCAGAGGTGGGGGGCAGAGCCCCAAGGAAGCTGGGCCAGAGATGGGGTGTCAGGTTGGGAGCTGATGAGATCACCAAGGGGGACGGTGGAGGGGGATACCCCCAGTCAGTGGGGCAGGACCTGGGTGAAGACCCAGCGAAGGAGATGGAGGAGGAGGAGAACCAGGGGAGGAGAGACTGTCCCGGAGGAGAAGGGGGTCCCGAGGGTCCAGTGCTGCGAAGTCCAGA